GCAAACAACGGAAAGACAACTCCGATCATCGGGTGAAGACTTCAATTCACAGGGACAACTGACTGGTTGATCACAAGCCTAATTCCTCCAAACTCTAGCAATCTGGTACCCATCTGGGATTTTTATCCAAATAATTGAAAAATAAAGCAAGCATAAGTACATGTCGTACTCAACAAATATATCATGGGGTTCATGAAGCTCAAAAGGCTAACACTGGTTTAACTGCGATTAACTTTTAATGAGTCATCTTTTGGCAATTGGGTGGCAACAAGTTTAGTCACAAGCCCATATAAACATATGATCAGGTAAACATGAATAATGAATAGCATAAACAATAATCATTAGTGAGCATCTTTGTCATCAGTATCATCAGTGTTCATCATCTATTCTGTAAGGGTCCAAGGCCGCTCGTGACCATGAGCACGACTGATATACCAGTTTTACACTCTGTAGAGGTTGTACACTTTCACTGTGAGTCATGATTTACCCTTTCGCCCAAGGTGATCAGCCTCTTGACCCACTACCAAGAAAGGTCGGCAGGGTTCACTATGAAGCCTTTCAAAGGTTCGTCTAACAAGTTAGGGCCATTAGATTCACTCGGCAAATAGATGTAGAGCCCTCCTTCCCAATGGCATAATGACGCGCAACCTATACACAAGGGGACAGAGGCCGCACTATACCCGATTCGTCAAGCCATTCTTACGTCAATAAAGGTAACCACTAACAAGCTAGAAAAGGTCCTCATACTGAGTTAAAGCCAGAGCTATGTAGCCCCACAGCTGTACTGTAAGTCCCAGATGTTCGTTTACAGATAAGTCCTTAGGGAGAGAAATCTAGAGCACCATAAAAATAGCCCAATGCTCTAGCCCCCTTGTTCCATGTTGCTAAAAAGCATCTTTTAATGTTTATTGCACATTCCATTAGTCAAGTTATAAGATCATGGTTGTAGTTGAGCACTAGCATCATACTTCCCAATGCAATAACCCATAGGAATCCAGGTACAGGTTAACAAAGTACTACGAAATCCTTAGTGGTACTCAAGGTAGACACATGCAGCATGAATTAAATGATTAAAGGTGTATAGGACAACAAGGAAGATCCCATGCTATACTTGCCTTAAAACTCAGATCCTTCTTCTACTGAATTGTAACCTTCAAAAGACTTCTTCTGGATCACCAACTTCTTCTATTTCACCAGCATACTTCTCACCGACTAGACATGATCATAAAGCACCACACAAGCATCCATGCAATCATACACGAAGCAAACAATAGAACTAAATTAGAACAGTACACCAAACATATGAAATAACAAGTAAAAAGGTTTTAAAGATGTTGTACACGTCGCTACGAACACACAGACACGAAAAGCATGCTAATCGAAACTACGGTTGTAAAGAAATGACTACAGGGTTTTATATTATAAAAGAAAAGAGAAGACTATAAGCTTGATTTATGTTAATTAGGAAAAAATATGTGAGTAGCATTAATTTAGATTAAACAAATCATATTTATACTTAAAAATTGAGTTGAAGCTAATCATATTTTATTTATAAATATTTTAATATCATTTATGCCAATTCAACTTTAACCTACAAATACAAACTGATATGTGAGAACATCTAATTAAATTTGATATGTGTGTTTAGACTAAACATATTATAATTTAAAAACATATTTATGTTAGCAACTAGTCATGTTAAAACTTATTTGCAAAAGAGCATTGTATATAATTATGTCACTTTTATTTATAAAAACTAGTTGCATGCATATTAATCAAATTAATATTAAAGCATATATATATAAGTCACTTGATATGAAAAACGATGACACTAGTACGTAGATCACATCGATATGAATCTAACGCAATTGGAACGATTCGAAACGGACTTAAAACGAATATACGACGACGATATTACGAACTTGTGGTAATTTCGTAATTATCTCGTCTTCATCTTTTGGCCTCCCGTACAGCCACCACACGGCCGTGGCAACAGCAACGGCGCAGGAGTGGGCTCGACTTATTGCACGAAGGAGAGGATGACCGGGCTGGGCAGCGCGGCGGCGACGGCGACGGCGAGAGGAGGAAAAGAAATCTAATTTACTACACGAGGGATTTCTCAAACTAGGGGCTTTCCTTACGGTAGTTTTGGTGTGCTTTGTCCAAGGGGTTTGGTACATATTTATAGGGAGAAAAACTTCCCACGTCTACATCAACTAGCAATATTGTACTAATTGATATTGCACCCTCCACATTTACTAATGAGATTTATTAGGATTATTGCACATGGGCTTTGAGAGTTGGTTGGAAAATAAGATATTTATTATTTTTGGAATTAATTAATTTCGTGGATAAAATAATTCTAGAAAAGTCTAAAATTATTATTTAAGCCGCGAAAAATACTCCGAAAGCTCTGAAAATTCGGGAAAAATTCCCAGATACATTATGGAACATGAGGAACCCAAATAAAGTATTTGGAGCCCATGATAAGATAATTTGAAACATCTAAAAATTAAATTATGCTCACAGACAAGTAGGAACAAGTTCCAGAAAAAGCTGAAAAATTCCCGAGAAGTTTTTAGAGATCGATTGATGGACGAGGAACTGAAAGGAGTGATTTGCGTTACAAAGAAAAGATTTTAGAAAGCTTCCAATGAAAACTTGAGCCGAGAAACAAAGAATTTGATTGTAGAAAAAGATAAAGGCGTGCCGGAGAAAGAAAATCGACCTACTAACGCAGTTTAAAGAATTTACTCACTCTCAAAATACAAAGAAGCAACAAGCAAACATCACCTCGTCCAAACGCCCGTCAAAATTAGAAAACTTTGAAAATTCATATTTTTTCTATAACTAAATTTGCTCTAGCTCAAATTAAACTTGGTAAATTTTATCTAAATATTAAAATAATTTATTTTATTTAGTGTTTTCTATGTACAACCCGAAATCAGAAATTTTGGGACGTGACACCCGTCGTGCCGCGTGCAGCATGAAAGTCTCACGCACAACTTTGAGAAAGAAGCCATCGGGTTGCTCAACTATGCAGCCGTGCTCGCACCACTAATATGGCCACCTCACTACAGGACCGAGGTCCGCATGGTTGTGGGTCATCGTGCCAATGTCGGTGGTGCCGCACAGGTGGCATGTTGTGGCTGTGACACTCACGCCACCACTACACCATGCTGCTGTGCCCACGCCGGCAGCAACACTTTCACCAGCGTTGTGGCCACCGCCTCACTTTTGTGTGCTAGCTGCCGTGCATGTAGTGTTGCACGTGAGAAGAGATAAAGGAGAGAGATGAGATACATGTGTCAAATCAATTTAGAAATATGATAAAGTTCTAGGGACGGCAATTGAGACCACCACCTGTATAAATCGATTTCTAATGACGGCTTAATAGCTTGGGCCCTATGAAAGCGTTTCTAGAGGTGTTTTTTATGGAGTCATATGTAGAAAAAAAGAGAGGTGTCTCTTAAAACCATTCATGCTGTAGTCATGTAGTGTATTATGTACAAACCTGGAGACGAAATGCTCTCTAAGCAGACGAAATCGTAGAGAAACCTCATGTAAACTAGAGCTACTGAATTCCTCATGTTGGATGTCGTGTAGTGTATCAGCAATTTGATCCTCAAAATGATGCCCAATACCCAAATGTTCAACAGTGTCCAAAAGGTTCATTTTCTCAACCATATCTTTGGAAGCGTCAAAGAACTGACTCACCCTGTTCTTCAGTGCATTAACTCGATCGTTCAGCCATTTTTCTGGCATCTACAGTCATACAAGCACACATTATACAACACTCACTGTCATTTATGTAAAAGTTATGTGCAAAGTAATATACATATACAATACAATCTTATAGTTCTTTGTTATACTCTTTGGTTCAGGAAGATAAGGGCACACAATTTAAGATGGTTTGACTGTTTGTTTGTATACTCTTTCTGTTCTGGAACATATGTCATCTTGATCCGAGATGTAGTCCTGGTTGGTCCAGTAAAAATAATCTTGCTATAAACACATGTAATTGCAGCCATGATGAGTTCAGTATACGGATTCGACACGTGTATTTTACCATAACTATTGGCTATGTCATCATCATCGCCATCGCATTTTAATCCTCTCTAATCGAACTCAACCTCACCAAACTGAAGCGAGGCATCTTATTACACCGCGAAAAGTAGTAGTAATAAAGTTTATATAAAAGGATATTATAAAGTGAGAAATTCAAAATCATCGTGTAGTACTCACTGCAAGACACAACATAACAAAAATCCTGTAATTTAGCAGGTAAAAGTGATAACATACCTGCAATGGCTGTGGCTGGTAATTGATAAAGAAGTTACTCCATATCGTCGGTTCAAAATCCGGTGATATCATCTGTAGAAAAATAAAGTTAATAGATTCCATACCTATATATGGTGAAAACTATGTAATCTTTTAGTCTTCTACGTAAACCATGACCACACACAATGTGACAACCCCATGAATAATGTCTTATTGAGAGTGTCCATACCCTACGCTTTAGAGGGAGCCAACACTCAAATTTATCAATAATCATTAAAAATTCAAAAGCAAGGTCAGCGGCTCAGATTTTGCATATGACTTGGTTAAAAGCAAAAAGAAACAGAATTACTATACCACAACTGAGTGTTGAGTGCTCTTTCTTCTCCAACTCGACGGGTTTAGAAAAAAAAGCTGAGGATCGAGGAAGGCTGGTGGTGGGTGCGGGGAGGTGGGGGGGGTGGCAAGGCGGCGGTGGTGCCGTCGGCCGAGCGGTGGAGGAAGGCATTTAGGCAGCGGATGTGGCAGGGACGTCACGGTGATAGCCTGGCGATGCTTGGTTAGCATGGCAGCGGGTGGGCGGTGGCAGATCCGTCAGCAAGGAGCCACCGGAGATGGAGGAGGAGGGTGGGGCGAGGGCATCACATTGATAGCTTTGGCAAAGCCGGGTTAGCGTGGCGGTGGGTGGGCACGGCAGATCCGGCAGCTGGGAGCCACCGGAGATGGAGGAGGTGGTGGGGCGGGGCATCATGGTGATAGGCGGTGAGGTGGGCGGCAGCAGTTCCGGGCAAGGGAGCCACCAGAGATGGAGGAGGAGCGTGGGGGGGGCGTCATGGTGATAGGCGAGGTGGGCGGCAAGCAGATCTGGTGGTGGGGAGCCACCAGAGATGGAGGAGGAGCGCGGGGGGGGACGAAGCGCACGCAAAAAAAAATTCGAGTGGTAGGTCCTTGTGAAACGCTAATATAGTATAGACAAATTCAAAAAGTAAGGGCGATATTTTAGGACCTTTACCACCTCTTATCTGTTTAGCCAACAGAAGAAACGGTTATCTTTAGGACCCTTACCACCACTATTTATTTTAATCACCCCATCGAAACATGAAAATTACATAACAATTGTTATAACTCCATTTTATTTATTAGGAATTAGTTAGGTTTTCACGTATTTTCTATAAACCTGATAAAAGTTAGAGTAATTTGACTATGAACAAAAGTGAAAAATATTTAATCCATCTGTTCCATAATACGTATCTACACAAAATAGCATTAAAGAGAAACATGAAAACTACATTAATATTTTTTTTAAAAAACATAGAACAACTATTATGAAATAGAGGGAATATATTTTAGAGCGGAGCTAGGGAGTAGCTCCGAAGACACGTGCGAGAGCATGCATGCACGATAAGAGTGACATGAATATTACAGTAACGAAATCTCAAAAAAAAAAAAAACACAGTAACGCCAAGCAATAGTTGCTGAAGAAGGCTCACCGGTGTTCTTACACTAGCTATTGGCGACTCTTCCATCGCCTGACTTAATTTGGACACGGTTTGCTGTCCTCGTCTCTGATGGCCTTTTTAATCAGTTCTTCGCCGTGGACTATGAGGTGTCAGTAAATAATGTAGCCTTAATTACTCTGAGAGGTATATATATATGATAGCCGCTCCGTGCATGTACGTGTTGTATGCTGTATACCGCGATGTTGAGCCGCTGTCACGCCAGGCGCGTGTGGCTTATTTTACTGGCCTCGTGCCACCATGAGATGTGACGGGAAACCAAGCAGTTGAGCGAATGGCTCTTTCTTATCATTTCTGACAAAAAATATAAGCAAGCCCACACATATAGCCCAGTAGCTGGCCCATCAAACCTAGAACATCTCCGCGAACCCTACCAAATCATGTTCTGACCGCGAGCTGCCACACGACGCACTTGCAAGAGTCACATACTCTAGCTGCACACGACGCATTTGCAAGAGTCACATGTGTGACGCCTAGGGCTCCAAATGGTATAGATTTTTTTTTTGACCGTATCTGAGTCTGAATCCATTTAGGGCTCGTTCGGTTAGGGCTGTTCCTAGTAGGAATAGTTTCTGGTGAGGATTTGACTATATAAATTACATAGACATTTCTGGTAGGAATGGTTCCTGGTCACCATTCCCTGACAATCGAACACAGCCTTAGGTCTTGTTTGGATACATGTGTATCTATTTCAATCCATATGTGTGGGAGTGAAATGGAATGGAATTTAGTTGGATTGAGACGAATACATGCGCATCCAAACAAGGCCTTAGCGGGGTTCAGATCCGTCCATATCAAAACCCGGATATTTAACATCCGATATCGTATCCATATTTGAATACTAAAATCGCATATTTATGATGTCGATATACATTTGTATTATATCCGACATAGCTGACACTATATCCGTATTTGAGTATGAATGCAAGAAACATTGTAGCATTTTGTATTGGTCTCCATAGTTATCTGACCGTTTCCACCCCCGAGAGACGCCCGCCATTTTCATTCTAAACCTCTCGATCTCGATCTCCCCTCTCCCAGTGCCCCTTTATCACTCCGTGTGCTGCGTGTACTGTCGCTACAAGCCGCCACCCATCAGAGCAGTTCCAGAGGCAGAGGCAGTTCACTTTGGCCCTGTTTAGTTTTCAAAATTTTTTGCCTCCTACAGTAAAAGAGTATGTTGGACATATGCATGGAGTACTAAATGTAAACGAAAAAAAAAACTAATTGCACAATTCTCGATAAAATCGCGAGACGAATCTTTTAAGCCTAATTAGTCCATGAAAAGCCTTAAGTGCTACAGTACCCACATGTGCTAATGACCGATTAATTAGTATCATTAGATTCGTCTCGCAGTTTTCTGATGGGTTCTGTAATTTGTTTTTTTATTAGTATATAAAAACCCCTCCCGACATCCTTCCGACATATCCGATGTGACACCCAAAAATTTTTACCTTCCTAACTAAACACACCCTTACTCAATTCGCATGTCAGTTCCAGAGGCAGAGGCATGCATGCTAGGTGGTGTGTACTATTCTTCCTGCCAGCTTTGCTCCCGCCACTGGACCATCAGATTGTGTGACAGGATTGTTTCTGATGTGAGCGGAGGAGGTGTCATCGGACAGGTATGCTGGGCTTGGAAAACGTAACTACTTTTTTGTTATTGACTGCAGTTACCTTTGAAAGGTGCTTAGTTAATATGCCTAATCAACATGTCTTGTGCAGTATCCTGTACTGTTACCTGGTGAGGATGAGTTTGTCTATGAGAGTTGCACGCCACTGCCCAAAGTACCTGGATCTGTGGAGGGTTCTTTTTCGTTTGTGCCTGGCAAGTATGTTCCGATTATCTAGACAAGTTATGTTTAATATGATCCTGTTTACGGATTTAGCACCTTCATTCTGTTAATGTAGTGGTTAGAGATGCTATAGTTTTTCGTGGGCCACGCTGTGTATCATTTGTTCCTCTTTTCTTTGTAAGGTTGATCCGGCCTGAAGGGAAGCCGTTCGAAGTCATGGTGGCACCGTTCCCTCTTGTGGTTCCAGAATATATCTTCTGATGATCACAGCAGAAATAAATGTATGCGTGCTAGTTGCATCTCCGTGGTACTTGCTTGTTGTGGAAAAGTTTGGATGCTTGGAAAGGAACCGTGTGCTCTAACTTCATGTAGCAATCAATGAGCATAGGAACAACATGTTTGAATAATTAGGCAATTTCCATATTAAAACCAGAATATAAATCATGACAATCGGAAGTACTAGATTAAGCATGAGCATATTGCATAGCATGAACATGATAACCGGTGTAATCATAGCTCGTACACCATACAGATTAAACAGTACGAACGATGACATTAGATCACAAGAAATATACCATCTGAATATAGATGTAGTCGCTGGTGGTGAAGATGCAGATGGAGACGAAACTGGTGATGATGGTGCGAGGTCGAGGTTGTCGATGAGCGGTGGAGGAAGTGCTCGGAGCAGTTGACGACGGATACGCCGGGACGTAGCGCCGCCTGACTTGGATGGAAGATGACCCGTCGTGAAGATTGGGAGCAGTCGCGCGAAGAGCGCTTCCCAAAAACCTTATTCGCCTTCTTCCGGTGCAGAATCGCAAAGACGGAGGTTCCGGAGACTTGCTCGCCCGGTCGCCGGTGCACGCAAGCGATCGGGCTGGAGAAGCTACGGCGGCAGCGCAATAGCGAGAAGAGGAAAATACTAATTTACTATTTTAGGATTTTCTAACTGAAACTCCCAATTGTAGTTTTCGGTGTTTCTTTTTCCAGGAGCAGCGGTACATATATATATAGGGAGGAAAACCTCCTACCTCCACATCAACTAGCTATATGGTACTAATTGATGTTGCACCTCCCACCTTTACTCATAGATTTAAACAATAAAGCCCATTAGAAAACACATATATTTGACCTTTGAGATTTATTATAATTTCTTCATATGAATTTAGAGAAATTATCCATATAAATTCTAACACAACAGCCTAGTAACCAGCAAATGTGCCTCATACCCATATCCTGGCAAGTATTTCGCTCCTGAGCTGGGCTAGTGGGCTGGACCACACTGATGTGGAGATATCAACTGGCAGGCTGAGGCTCCGATCCAACATGATAGCCCACGGCGAGGGCATGTCTTTCCTGCATGGCTCTAGTTAGTAGCTTAAGGACAAGCAGGCCAGATTAAGTTTGCAACCTTGCTGGCCCAGTCTTCAAAGGTGTTCATAGTGGCGAGGTTTGTCACATTTATAGACATGAGTGTACGTGTGTTGTGAGCGTCTCTGTTGTACTGTGTAATCTCAAATAAAAAGCCATAGATTTTTTTCGTAGTCCCAGCTTGGTTGGGAAAGAAAAATGAGGATTTCAAATACATTTGTTGCAGAGCTGCACTGTAGCAAAACCCCCGGGTTAAGGAAATTAAAGTTACATCATCATTTATTCATGTCCGTTACCAAGTACCCGTGTTTGCAATAAGTTATCCCTAGGTTTAGGAAGCATCAGGTACCAAGGTAGTTGTCTTGTTTTTCAGCATTACTTCAGCAGTACTTTTCAGCGAAGGAACATTATTTTTCTCTCACAACAAATCAGTATCAGCAACAACATCAGCCAAATTTCAGCGAAACGAACAGGCAAGTATATACTTCCCACAAGCTTTCTGGAATGCCCCCTGTTGCCATACTTGATCCATTCAGCAAGCAACTATAAGCAGTCTGGCCAACCACGAATATTGGATCTAGTACAAATAGGGAGGAGGGGGGCGAGTCGTACTTGCGTCGACATGGTGAAGCAGCCTAAGCTTAGGCGTGGTCGAGGTTTGGTGGCACAAGCGGATCAACTCGGGTAGCAGGCACAAGTTAAGGACGGCGTCATGGACGTGTGGACAAGTCGATGGATGGCATGGAGAAGCTTCCGATCTGGATCTAGGCTTTGCAGGTAAAGCTCTACGGTAACGGAGGTGACGGCGGCGCGGAGAGGCTATGTCATAGCGGTGGCATGATGGAGTTAGGGAGGGAGCAGGAAGGCGGCGGGATGAGGTCAGGGAGGGAGAATGAAGGCCGTAAGGAAAATGGACCCCATGGTCCATTTAGTTTGGATTTTTGTGTTTGACGAACAATATGACCATTTGGACTAATGATTTTTGCTAGTATAGAAGGTATAGTTTAAATGGATGCAAAGTGGACTTGGACTTAGACAAAGTGGTGATATGGATGATCAACACCTCAAGCAAGACATTAAAAGCTGTGTTGAAGACTCACAAGACATGCAAGAAATCCAAGACATAGGAAAGAAGCCCAGACAAAGATACATGAAGAAACAAAGTCAAACGGGTGCCGCATAGCAGCACTGGACCTGTTCAGTGGTTGCTAGAGAGGGCACCAGACAACACATGTGTTATGTCGCGCGGGCTGCTGCAACAGGTAGCACCGAACGTGTCCGGTGATGGGCTCTATGGAGCACCAGACTGCGTGGTGACAGCCAGAGCAGGGGTGGAAGACCCACCGACCACTACATGTGTTCGTTGATGGTACCAGACCGAGCTACAGAACATTCTACCAGAGAGGTTGCAGCAAAGGTTGGAGACGGTCACAAGGCAACAGACGTCTACACTCTCCAATGGTCGGCAATAGCTAGTTTGCTAATGGCTAGCTGACTTGGACCTCATCGGACCTGTCCGGTGGGTGCACCGAACATGTTGGGTGACTACATAGAAAGCTGCTGTTGACTTCAATGGCTAGTTTTGCATTGGTGGCTATATATATCCCATGGTCGGTTCTTCTCTAGTCACCACTGCTTAAGAGATGATTAGGTGATTAATAGTGTTTTATGAAGTGCTTAGGCTAGTTAAACCCTCTTAATTGTGCTTGCTTTTGGTTTAGGCCTATTAAAAGGTCCTAATGGCTAGAGGGGGTGAATAGCCTATTAAAAATTTCTACAACAACATTTAGCAAACCGGTTAGACAAATATGAGGCGAAACGAGTGTTGTGCTAGCCTACTAAAAATACAAGCCACCTATTACAATTCTAATTTCTATAGTCTCTATCCACACAATGGCTATATCACTACACTAAGTTAGTGTGCTATGAAAGGCTAACTAAAGAGCCACACTAACCAAACTAATAAGCTCTCACAACTAGCTACACTAAAGAGCTTGACAACTAGTTTACGGTAATGTAAAGAGAGAGAGCAAGATGGTTATACCGCCGAGTCGAGGAATGAACCAATCAATCACAAGAATGAATACCAGTCACCTTGGAATCAAATGATGACATAATAATTTTTTACCGAGGTTCACTTGCTTGCCAGCAAGCTAGTCCTCGTTGTGGCGATTCACTCACTGGGAGGTTTACGCGCTAATTGGCATCACATGCTAAACCCTCAATAGGGTGCCGCACAACCAACACAAGATGAGGATCACACAAGCCACGAGCAATTTACTAGAGTACCTCTTGACTCTCCGCTCGACGATCCTCGCTGCTCCAAGCCGTCTAGCTGGTGGCAACCACCAAGAGTAACAAGTGAATTCCGCAGCGAAACATGAACACCAAGTGCCTCTAGATGCAATCACTCAAGCAATGCACTTGAGTTCTTTTCTAATCTCACAAAGATGATGACTTAATGCTGGAGATGAGTGGAAGGGCTTTGGCTAAGCTCACAAGGTTGCTATGTCAATGCAAATGGCCAAGAGAGTGAGCTAGAGCCGCCACACGCCTTAAATAGAGCCCCCCAACGAATAGAGCCGTTGGGCTCACAGAGCACCCCATCACCAAGACCGGATCGATGCGCAGAGTCGGGCGACAGGACGACGTCACCCAAATGTCCGTCGCGCGTGATGCGCACCACGTGGCCCCTCGGCTTAACCTCGTCCACGCAATCTCAATGGCTAGTTAGCCAAGCGCCCACGCGATAAGTTACGACCGGACGCTGCTGCTCAAAGTGACCGGACGCTCCATCATTGAGTTTCGGTCGTTTCAGAAGGTTTCGAGACTATTTTTCACCACCGGACGTGTCCGATCCACCGTGATCGAACACGGACCAGAGTCCGGTCCTTACTGGCCTATTCAGATGCTTTCGTCAGCGTACGTCATCACTTGACCAGACGCACCCCAAGCGCGTTCGGTCCTATTTCTTCTCAGCATCTAGTCAAAGGACCGAGGCTGAACCTTCATCACAAGACCACCGACCGGACACAGGTCGAGTCCTGTCCACCGCCGAGAGGCGAGTCCCATCAATACGAAATAGCTCCTTTTGACCCCAATCTTCACCACCCTTGATCAAATGTGCCAACCACCAAGTGTATCACCTTATGCATGTGTGTTAGCATATTTTCACAAACATTTTCAAGGGTGTTAGCTTTCCACTAGATCCTAAATGCATATGCAATGAGTTAGAACATCTAGTGACACTTTGATAACCGTATTTCGATACGAGTTTCACCCCTCTTAATAGTACGGCTATCGATCCTAAATGTGATCATACTCGCTAAGTGTCTTGATCACTAAACCGAAAAGCTCCTTTCAATTTCACCTTTGTCTTGAGCTTTATGTTTTTCTCTTTCTTCTTTTCCAAGTCCAAGCACTTGATCATCACCATGGCATCACCATCATCATGTCATGATCTTTATTTGTTTCACCACTTGGAATGTGCTACCTATCTCATAATCACTTTGATAAACTAGGTTAGCACATAGGGTTTTATCAATTCAGCAAAACCAAACTAGAGCTTTCAATCTTCCCCTTTTTGGTAATTGATGACAACCCTTACACAAAGATATGAATTAAAATTTAATTGAATCCATATTGCTTGACCAAGCATATTTACCATGTATGAAAGGATATGGA